CGAAGATAAGCTGCAGTAATAAAAAAAATCGAAAATTCGCCTCTTGACAACCGACTGCAAGATCACCAATCCATGCATTTGTCTCAATCATTTTCTCAAAACACCCTTCATAAACAGGTTTACGGCCACGCCTTTTACTAGAACTGCCATTACCCTTGCCATGTCCTAATCCCTTTGCTTTCTTCCTTCCAGTGGCCCTTAAAATCTTAACTATGAACGAAATGTGCCCTGAATAAGTGAAATGTAAACCATCACCAGCACTCAAGCCATTATCCTTCACAAACTCAGATCAGCCAGCTTCCAAGATAGTCTTCCAACCATCTCCATCCTCTTCATGTACCATAGTTACTTCCCAAATTCTAGAACTACCATGCACTGATAAGTCTACACTCAAAAATCCATCATCTAATACCTCTCTAAAAACATTAGGAATGCGCTGAATATGGATACACAATTTTATAAAAGAAAAAAATTAGAAAAGATATTAAGCATAATAAAACAAACAGAATACAAACATTAACATATTTTTAAGACAACATCAAACACAAATATTTCTTACAACCATAAGAAAATTAAATCGAGAACCATATTTTGTCATACCACCTTTCTCTGTTGTTCAAAATCATAACGAACAATAAACGAAGCAGAAAACTCAGTCATGCAAGCCTTTTTGAAGATGTAACAAATAGATATCTAAGCTTGTCTATTTAGCACAACTTACTGCATAGTCGTAATAACTACAATAAAAAAAATGGCATATATAGAGAAAGAAAGTATAGAAACCGTTACCACATTGAATGAATAAGCTCATGTATGACTTTGACAAGAAACACTTGAGTAAGCTTCTTTTACCAAGAAAACAAAACTGCTATAAACTTACATATTCCTTTATCTATATTCAATATAGTAATAATGATAGGAATAACAAGATCAAAACATACATAATTAATGTCATTCATAATATTCCCAAAGAATTAGCACATAAAATTGTAACATCTATTTCTCTTGAATATCTTAATCCTTTACCAGAATCCAAAGTGTAGACATGCACAACATTACACAAAATAGATAACTATGTAATTAATTATTAATCCCAAGTATTGCAAGCAAGTCAAATATATAATAATCACTAGGAATTCATACATAGTCATCTAATCCTACAACTAAGTCAAATTATTTTAGTAAAAACTTTCGTGCATAATCATAACATTCCACACATATTTAATTATCTTCTAAATTTATTAATTTCTAAACCTTAAAGTTACTCAAGTTAATATTAGTCATACCTAACTTCTTAAAATTCAACCACATAATAGCAAAACAAAGTATACAGGTAAATTATTAATTATTCCTTTAAAATATTATATGATTATTAATTATTCCTGTAAAATATTAATTGCTATATTTTAAAAGTTGATTAATACCAACTATGCTTATACATAAATTGCTAAAATAATAACCACATATTTTACCTTGCATGCAATATTGTTATAAGGTTTAAAACTTTTTGAGAACAAAAATACATTTTTATCATTCTTGTTGAGCCTTTTGGTTTTGATGGACAAATTGACAAACTCGACTAATGAATGTTTTGAGTCTTTGGTGAATAAAGGGTTCAAGCAAAGTTCGTTCCGGAGTAGGAACTTGGATGCGGAGTAGCATTCTCTAAAAAGCCTCATGCAAATCTCACGTTCTAGTTTTAATTGTGAGCACTCAATAATATAAAGTCGGAAAGGAACTCAATGACTTATGTTATTAAAAAGACTACTGGAATAAAAGTTAGTTTTAAAAGATAATTTCTTAAGGAAAAAGATAATTTATAAAAGTTTTATCTAGTCATCTAATTTCGAATAAAGATAATTATCGAAGATAATTATCTAGTTGTTTTAATATAAATAATTAATTTATCTTTTCAAATAAAATCCTTTTTAAAATAAAATCTTTTTAAAAAAACTTTTGATAGAGTTAACAAACAGTTTTCTTTGTTGTGGAAATCTTTGATTATACGGTTTTATCATAGCTAATGTTTATCAAGTTGTTGAGATAGTGGATTAGTGAGATAAGGCTAGGAAACCTCCTTCATGATCACCATCTGTCAAGATAACTCCACAAGTTGTTAGTGGGGTGTTGGCATGTGGACGTGATTATAGTGGAGGTTAATGACTAAGCCTTCTCTATAAATACTCATGCAAACTATCTCAGCAAAACACAACTCTTGAGCATAAAAATTCCAGTAGCCATCTAATAACATAAAGAGAGTTATTATCCTTCTTATATTCTTGAGTGCAATAGGTATTTGTAATCACAGATTGTATTGAAGCACTTTGGGGTTTGGGATTGTGAGTTTGTGTAAGGTGAGGTCAAGGAAGCTTCGTTGCTGAAGGCTTCTGTGAGAGTTGGGAACAAGTTCCTAATTTGTGGAACTTGTTAACGGGTTTGAATCTTCACTTGTAAAGAGTTTGATTACATAGTGGAAATTTAGAAAAGCCTATATCTACTCTCGTCATTATTTCATTTAGTTAAATTCCGCAAAAGTTTTTAGATTTCACCTCAAATACAATTCACCCCCCCTCTTGTATTAGCCAGTTAGACTTTCAATTCTACATAACCTTTGACAAGAAAACACTAGAACAAGATTCTTTTTTTAGGAAAAAAAAATAGATATTTACTTACATATTCCTTCTCCATATTCAATGACAATAATAATGATAGGTAAATCAAGTCAACACATATATAATTACTGTCATGCAACACATAAAATTTAGCTTCAATACCTTGATCCAAATTACGATTATGTAGAAAAGTGAAGACAAGACTTATCATGTCAAACAATATATAAGAAACTAAATAATACAAATAAGTCAATTTTGTTTAATGAGAACTATGCATTCAATGGATAGTAATCTAATACTAAACTGGATCAAATAATTTGTCATAACCTCTGTGCATTCAATTGAAAAAAAAAACCCCCTCATGTTAAATGATATGTTATCAGATCATCTAATGGTTCAATCTCATTGTTGTTAGATGAAAATTAATTAATAGCAGATTATATTTGATTTATGTGTATTTGTTGAGATTTATTATAATTTTACATAATTATTATATTCTATACAACTTCAAATTCATGCATGAAATAACAAAAACTAAATCAAATAGATTTATTTAACAATTCACTAATGTCCTCCTAATTTAGATTCACAAAACGCAATGCGCGTGCACTAACACTAGTAAGGTTAAAGAGATAAAGAAATGTTTGGTCAAATCTAATAATCAAATCAGGTTGGATTGATTAGATAAGATGATCTGAGCAAAGCATTCATTCCTTGAAAATTTGATAACTCTCAAGTGATGAGTAACATGTGCTTAAATAAACTACTACCTCTGTTCCTAAAATATCTTGACACTATTACATATTTCAAGAATAGTCATGTGATGAGAAGTTGTTTGATTCACCTCGAAATCTATTTTCTATATCAATGTTTGAGTATAATGAAGTTTTAGGAATGGAGGTAGTACATAACAGTCCAATATAAATTATTTTATTTATACGATAAGATATTGGGGTGCCCCTCCTATTATAGGAGGGATGGGGTGAGGATCGAATTCTGGTCACACCGAGGAGAGATGGAGGGACGACTAACCATCCCGCCACTCCTTGATCCTCAATAGTCCAATATTAATGTAATTTAACCACTTAAAATGTTCATTATTAAAAGCATAAAGCCATTTCTCAAAGTCCTTTTCAATTGTCATTAAATTTTGAGAATATGACTTGACTAATTATAAGCAATAACAAGAACAACAACATCAACATGATATCTTCTACTCATATTGTCTCCTATTGGCCGTTCCATGACCTTTATTTACCGTTTTTAGATAATAAGCTTACTATTTCTTTAGTCTTAATTTATTTGCCTCACTTTTCTACTTGAGGTGTTCCATTTCACTCTACCTTTCCTTTCTCTATTTTATTTTTCACTTGAGTTGAGCCACACACTTATTATCTACTCCCTCCGTCCAGTTTATAGTTTCTATTTGTGTTTTTTCACGGTATTTAAGAAATGAGAGGAGAAAGTGAATGAAGTACGTAAAAAATAAAAAAAAAACGAAAAAAAATGAAAAAAGTACAAGGCAAGTGGAAAATTCAAGAGTAAGTTAGGAAGTTAAATGAATAAAGTTAAAATAAATGTGGGTATAATAGTCTTTACATACTATAAAAAAATAGAAATAGGAACAACATTTTAGATCTCTAAAATAGGAAAATAGGAACTATAATGTGGGATGAGGGAGTATTATATTTCACGTGTATAAAATTTTGTGCAAATGATTATATGTGAGGCAATTAATTAAAGTGAGAGAAAGAGAGTATCATTAATCATCTTTCTCCTAATTTCTTTATAAAACATTACCAATCATATTCAAAGAATCAAAGATAGTAATAGTGGAAGCCACTTTAGATTTAATAAATGTAATGTCTATTAATAAGCTCCACAAAAACAATAATGGTTACAGAGTAACCCATTTTCTAAATAATCTTCACATCACTCAACTCATTATGAGGCTTTTGAAAATTACGTTCTAAGGTCAAATTACACTTTAAATTATTTCCTTACAATTAGTAATTTGAAATTCTCATGTTTTTAATCAACTTAAAGAAGCTTCGAATTTTGATGATAACTAAGGACTTCACAATATTTTGGTTTTTCCTAATCCTTGTAAAATACCCAATCAAATTTAGTTAAGGTAGCTTAATGATCTTATACTAATTCTTTTTTAATAACTATGTTTCTGAAAAGTTTTACAAAAGAGAAAAATAAAATTTACACACTATAAGTTTACAGCTACTAACAAGGAATGGGAAAATGTGAAATATACATACAAACATGCGCATCATTCTCAATACTCTCGGATGCATGTAATAATTACGCTTTTGCCTTCTATTATTTTTAAAAATATATGAATAAAACCAACACAAGGGCCCTTAGATTGATCCTTGTCCTATGCAGTTCTCAAGAACACATGTGTTCATCTGCAGCAAAAGCCCCAAAAAAATTTAAATAGGAGTATCTATCAATTCTTAATAAATTCTATGTAGAGCTTAATACATATACCAATTCAAATCACAAAGACATACAAGTACTTCCTTCGGATATATGTTACAGAGTATAATTTTGTGTATTTTTTATAAGGTTGAAGATTATGATACGGTGTATATGACCAGGATCTTTTCACTACGACATACTTGTATATTCTTTTTATTTTTTTAAAAAATAGGTTGAACATGTTTTTGGGTATGAACTACGTGTGCTATTTTATGTTCATTTACTTTATATTTTTTTATTTATCGACCATGTTTTTTATGCATGGAAATTATACATGATTTTTTTTGTATTTTTACTATATGTTATTTGCTTCTATACGGGGTAATGTAATTTTGTTTTAACACGCATGGTTCAAGTTATTTTGTTTTAAGTTTTAACCTTGATGTTCATTGATTCTTATTCTTTTGTATTCTTTGGGTGCATAGTGTTTACGGTGCACAAACCAATATTTGGCGAATCATGAACTAAAAAAAAGTTAGGAAGATAGGTTTGAAAATTTTTGAACCTTCAAATTTCTGTTGAAAATTAGGATATTTTACCGACCTCAAAAAAAAAAAAAACGCCCCAATGAGACTAACAGTCACAACACAAAAGAACTAAAATCATAAGTTTTCTAATTCCAAAATAATAATCCGGTTTGATTATAGCCAAAAAATAAATAAATAAATAAATTACATCTGTCCTTGTTTAACTTAACTTGCTTCTGTAGTAGAAGAATGGACCTCCATTGTAGATTTGTTACAACAGTACAAGATATTATAATGTGTATATATGATCCACTTTGCTCATCTTTTATGTCATCCCAAAATCATGAAGCTTTTTCTTACAAAATCTTCAACCTTTATCTTCCACTTTTTCTTCTTTTTCTTGCTTCTAAACAACACCATTTTATCACTAAAACCAGAAATTCAAGCTCTTTTGTCTTGGAAAAACACCCTTTTGTCACAAAATCTCTCATCATGGACCCTCTCAAATGCTCATAACTTATGCCAATGGGAAGGAATCATTTGTGATGAGAAACAGAATACAGTTTTTGCAGTAAATCTTGCAAACTCCAACATTGTTGGAACACTTGATCATTTTAACTTCACTTCATTTCCTACTCTAAACATCCTTAATCTTAGCCAAAACACCTTAAATGGCTCGATACCATCCTCGATTGGCAACCTCTCAAGGTTAACTTCCTTAGACTTAAGTGACAATTACCTTACAGGGAATGTACCTTACCAACTCTGCTATCTTCAGGAGTTAAGGTACTTGGACCTTGGCGCGAATTACTTAGAGTCACCTGACTGGTCGAGGTTTGCTTCTATGCCAATGATCACCCATCTTAGCCTTAACTATAATAATCTTGAGTTTGAGTTTCCAAGTTTTATACATACTTGTACTAATCTCACTTACCTTGATTTATCAGAAAACTATTTGACAGGTTTTTTGCCTAGTTCATTGTTTAGTAGTCTTACTAAACTTGAGTTTCTCAATCTTACAGAAAATAAGTTCCATGATGCTTTACCTTTAAGTATTTTTAAGCTTAGTTTTCTTAAGGATCTTCGTGTAGGAAATAACCGGTTTAGTGGGTTGATCCCTCAAGAAGTTGGTAATGTTCTAGGCCTTGAAGTGTTGGAATTGTATAATAACTCATTTGAAGGGAGAGTACCTTCTTCTTTGGGGAACCTTAAAATGCTTCAAAGACTCGATCTTCGATGGAACAAACTGAACTCTAAGGTTCCTCCTGAGTTAGGCCTGTGCACTAACTTAACACACATAGGCTTAGCTTCGAATTTGTTAACCGGGGAATTGCCTTTGTCCTTGACCAATCTTAGGCTGTTAACTGAAATAGATGTCTCTGAAAATTCACTTTCAGGAAATTTGTCTTCCTATTTCTTCACCAATTGGACTGAGTTGGTCATGTTGGAACTTCAGTACAATAAGTTCAGTGGTATTATACCTCCTGAAATCGGTCTATTAACAAAACTCGACACATTTTTCTTGTATAACAACAATTTTTCTGGTTCAATTCCTTCAGAAATCGGGAATTTAAATGTTTTGAATCAGACAGACTTTTCTAGTAATCAGCTTTCAGGTCCTATTCCCTCATCTATTGGTAATCTAAGAAACCTTACAATCTTACAGCTTTTTAATAACAGTCTCAATGGAACTTTTCCTCCTGAGATCGGCAGCATGAAGTCGTTGCAGATTCTTGATCTTAACACAAACCATCTGCAAGGAAAGTTGCCTGATAACTTAGCTGATCTTGTTAACCTACAAACTCTTTCTTTGTTCAACAACACATTTTCTGAGGAATTTCCAAAGAATTTTGGTAACTTAAGCCTTTCCTTGACTACTATCCGAATTGCATTCAACAACTTCTCAGGAGTGTTGCCACGGAATCTATGCAGTGGCTTTGCTCTTGTAGAGTTTACAGCTCATTTCAACAAGTTTACAGGATCACTTCCAGATTGCCTTAGGAAATGCAAGGGGCTAAATAGAGTATGGCTCGAGGGGAACCAGTTTATTGGTAATATTTCTCGGACATTTGGGGTTCACCCAAGTCTTGATTTTCTGAACCTGGCTCACAATCAGTTTTTTGGATCACTCTCTTCTCAATGGGGAGACTGCACTAATCTTACTCGATTAGAGCTGACAGGAAATAACATTTCTGGAAAAATACCGGCTTCTCTGGGAAATTTGATAAAACTGGTTGTTCTGAAGCTGAACTCAAATGAGCTGAGTGGCAAAATCCCTACAGAAATCGGAAAGCTGCAGCAGCTGGAGCAACTTAGCTTAAGACAAAATAATTTGACTGGAAATGTTCCGAGAAGTTTAGGGAGCTTGGCTAATCTGAAGGATCTTGATTTGTCAGAGAACAGTTTAACAGGAAGAGTTCCTGTTGAGCTTGCAAATTGCAAGGTCCTGTCAAGCTTGAATCTGAGTCACAATGGTTTATCAGAGCAGATTCCATTTGAGCTCGGTGAGTTAGCTGAGTTACGGTACTATCTAGACATTAGTGGCAATGCATTTTCAGGAACCATACCTGAAAGTCTCAGCTCACTTACTTCTTTGCAATATCTGAATCTCTCTCACAATAATCTCTCAGGAAGTATTCCTGGCAGTTTTTCTGGCATGATCAGCTTAGAGTCAGTAGATTTCTCCTACAACAAACTGAACGGTCCGGTTCCCAATATTAATGTCTTCCAGGATGCACCTTCAACAGCATTTATTGGGAACCCGGGTTTGTGTGGAGTTAAACAAGGCTTTCCTAGGTGTATAAATAAGCATTCAGCTAAGCATAGGAGAAAGTTACTGATTGAAGCCATAGTTCTTGGCTGCCTCTTGTTTCTTGCAAGTGTTCTTGTAGGATTTCTATATCTAAATTGGCACAAAAGAAGGAGGATGAAAGAAAAGGAAGCAGCGCTGAACAAGAACAGGGAATTTCCTTCCATTTATGACAACTTAGAGCTGCTGCTTTGGGGATCAGGAAAAGGAAGATTCAAATTTGAAGATATAGTTAGAGCAACCGAGAACTTCCATGACAAATACTGTACAGGAAGAGGAGGTTTCGGGGTTGTATACAAAGCTGTCTTGCCAACAGGACAGATTCTTGCAGTGAAAAGGCTTTATAAGACTGAATTCAGCAACACCCAATCGTCTGATTACAAGAGCTTTGACAATGAGATCACAGCACTAACTCAAATCAGGCACCGGAACATCATTAAGTTCCATGGTGCTTGCTCCAAGAGTGGAAACTTGTATCTGATTTACGATTATGCAGAGAAAGGTAGCCTAGGAGAAGTGCTATATGGTGATGAAGGATCCCTTTTAGACTGGGGTTTAAGACTGAAAATAGTGCAAGGACTAGCAAATGCGCTTTCTTACTTGCACCATGACTGCTCTCCACCAATTGTGCACCGTGACATATCAATCAACAATGTTCTACTTGATGCAGATTTTGAGCCTAGGCTATCAGATTTTGGCACTGCTAAGCTGTTGCTCACTGGTTCATCCAATTGGACTAACATTGCCGGGTCTTATGGCTACATGGCTCCAGGTGAATCTCCTTAATTCCTTTTTTTTTTTCCCATACTAAATCTATGATAAGATTTTCTCTGTTGTTTCCAAGTGTCTGACATGCTGAATTCATTAATGTGCAGAGCTAGCATTCACTATGAAGGTGACTGAGAAATCTGATGTATATAGCTTTGGAGTTGTAGCATTGGAAGTTATGATGGGACAACGCCCAAGCGAGGTATTATCTTCACACTTCTCAGGAACTATATCATTAAACATCCAGGATTTGAGCCTGAAGGATATGTTAGATCAAAGACTTCAACCACCATCTCCTAAATTGGAAGCTATAGTGATGGAAGTAGTTGCTGCAGCATTGGGATGCACCAGTCACTCACCGGAGTCAAGACCGACCATGCTCAGTGTAGCTCAGAAACTTATGTCTCAAATTCAAGAAGCTCCATTTTCAGACCCTTCTAGGTCGAAAAATCAAGGAAAATACAGAAATTCATGATTGTTGGCATAATAAATATTCTAGTACAAGTAGCAACTTAGTAGATGCATTTACTGTAAATAATATGTAATAATTTGATTAAAAAAAAAAATAAGCATGTGAAGTACTGCCTCTGTTCCTAAAAGATGTTCCCATGTATATACCACAATTTCTTGCTCTGTGTATTTGGTCTAATACTATTCCGCGCTCGTATATACATAACAGGACAATATGCTTGCTGCTATGTAAGTAATGCATGGAACATAGATGTACGTGATTACTACCAACACCCAAGTGTTGCAGAAGGTAGCTAAGAACATATTAAAGGAAACAGTTCAGTCCAAAATGAACATAAAACTGTTAAGAGTTCCTTTCAAAGCAGAGAAGCAAACTGTCAGTTTTTCAATTGTTTACCTAATAATTAGAACGTAGCAGTAGGTCAAATCTTAGAATCCTATAATTTGTTCAAGACAATGTTATATCTAGTCAGTCAGAATAACTTTAGGTTAGTAGATTAGTGGAAGATATAGTGGGATCAGGTAGTACTTTCTAGGTAGGTTAGTTTTTTGGGGTTTTATATAAAAGCTTGGATGTATAACAGCTTATTTAGCCAAGAATAATTAACAGTAAATTATTGTTCTATTCTCTTCACTCTCTCTCACATATCTTTCATCTTTCATATGGTATCAGAGCCATATTAGATCCTCAAATTAGAGTACAAAAAGAGTGGTGAGTGAATTTACTTTTGTTAAAGGTATTACTTTTGAAATGTGTGCAACAACTTTCAAAAATATTCTTGTTACAATGAAATTCACAATATTTGTTGTCAAATCCTTGCAGTACACTGGTATACACCTAATTGTTTGTCTAATTCTTTCATACACAGTAAATTAAGGTGGAGATAATTTTTCTAGCTTAGCTCTTTTATCAAAAAAACAAAGATTATTACTTTGATACAAAAAACAGATGTGCTTGCTGTATAATAAAGAGGTAGCAAAGGAGTGTACATGATTGAACTAGCACTCCACCCCACACTGTTTGAGAACAGGGCCAGTTTGCTTAGGCAAGAAAGGATCAATCCGAACCCACAAGAGAGAGAAGATTGATGCTAGAAGAACTGACCATAGCACAACAATAGTGGGTGTTCTGTTCTGTTTTCCCATCAGACCCTTCAGGAAAGGATACAGGTGAACAATCACCCAGAAGGCGAAGAAAAGCTTCCCAAACAGCGGGCCCCACGAGTTGTACCCGTTGTTAATGGCATCGGATACTCCAGCTACAACTCCAACCATGTTGAGTATGATCAAGGTGGTGGGTGGGATTAAAAGGGTAGTCCATTTGAAGAGGTAGAGCTCTCCAAATTCGGCATCTTCAGCTGCTTTTGTTGTCACTGTAAAGTTGGTGTCCACCCCTGCAAGTACCTTTAGCAGGCCTTGGAAGACTGCAAACAAGTGAGCTGAGACACCACCTATGACCCAAAATTGCTCGTTTCTCCACCAGTCCTCAATGCTCACTTCACTCCACCTTAGCTCGAGCACTCCCGTTATTATGATGGACAGAAATAGAGCCAAGAACCATACACTGGCCAAGTTTGTCAGCTGCAGGAAAATCATCAGAGGAACAAAAGTGTTAAACATTGTTGAATAACGGACCTCTTCTAAGGTTCATTTAACAAAATATATGAAAGTTCAAGTGGAATAATGAGTAGCAAAGAGTACTTACAGTTGGAATGATGAATTTTCCGGTGAGAAGACAGACAGCTGGGATAGTACAATAGGCAAGCAGAGGAATAGAGGTGAAAGGGTAGACAATGGTGTTAATATAAGCAAGCCTCTCTAACAACTTGAGCTTCCCTCCCCAAGCATACCATAAAGGACAATGTCGGCTAAGGAATATTTCAACTGATCCAAGAGCCCACCTCAGAACTTGGTGCAATCTGTCTGATAGATTGATCGGGGCAGATCCCTTAAAGGCAGGTCTCTTGGGCATGCAGTACACTGATTTCCATCCTCTGCAGTGCATTTTGAAGCCTGTTAAAATATCCTCTGTAATCGACCCATATATCCATCCAATCTGCAAACAAAACACAATTCACAAGAAATTTTAGAGCTTAGGAATAACGCAACACCTATTTTAGAAATTTAGCATCATACTTGCTATATAATGTTTCTGATGAACCATAACATCTTAGTTAATATGTTGACATTCGGATTATAAGTCAATTTGTGTTTACCTCTTTGCCCCATTCAGTCTTTTCTTCATACCCACAGCTAATAACATGAATGGCCTCCTTGATCAATGCAGTAGAGCTTGTCCCCTCAGGAAGACCTCCATCTTCCATAAGCGTAGAAGTAATGAAAACTGGTGACTGACCGAACCTTTTCTCAAAGTTCTTTTGAGACATGAGGGATGACTTCTCCAACTCTTCATACCCTTCAAGTCCTTCTTCAATGTCCTCGAGATCAAAGACAGGTGTGGAAGCCTTTCTTGAGTACTTCTTCCCCATAATCGTCTTCTTCTTCTTGCTGTATAGCTTACTGATCAAGCTCTTAATTCCTTTCTTATTATTATTCTTTGACTTGGCCTTTTTCTTCCTACCACCGCAGCAACAGCAGCACCATGAAGGAAAACAGTCACATGTCATCTTCGGCTTTTTTTCTGATGCTGGAGGATCATATCCATATAAAGCCTGTCGGTTGAATACACATCCTGTTCCTACATAAACTGGCCCTTGAATCCCATCTAAGCCTCTCATGTTGATCTACAACACAAAAAAGGCGAGAAAAAGAATAAGGCTTTTACTAGCATTGAGGATATAGTGGCTATATTTCCAGTGCTGTCAAAAGATTAGGTTGAACTTACATCAAAAAAGACAATATTGCGATTAGCATATCTATCATGCCTGTCAATACCATCAAATCTCTGAGGAAACTGGACATAGCATAGCTTCTTTCCAAATTGAGGATCCATTAAGAAGCACATAGCTTCTCTAACAGCCTTACTATTGTTGACGTAGTGATCACAATCAAGATTCAATATGAATGGTGCATTTGTAAGCACTGCTGAAACGCGGACCTGAAAACAACCAGCAGATAATATAGCAAGCATGTTAATTTAGTTAGTTAATTGCAAATTACTGTGAAATTGTAATAGAAATGCAAAACGAAGTAAATTGAAAATGAAGCCTCTAACCATAGCATTCATGGCACCGGCTTTCTTGTGGTGATTGTATCCAGGTCGCTTCTCACGTGAGACATAAACTAGCTTTGGCAACTCCTTACCTTCCACATCTAGTGCTCCCTCACTTCCTAGATAAACCTGGACACATATATGATTATTAGTACATGTTTGTCCAACAACCCCACTTACGGGATTAAGGCTTTGATTGATTGTTTGTCCAACAAAACATTCTTGATTAGAGTTCATTTAGATTTCCTCAAATATCGATCAGAAATATGAGTATATTAATTAACCTGAATCATGCCAGGATGATCTCGTGTGTTATTCCCAGGCCATGGATTTCCATCTTGCATAACCCACCCCTCTTCAGGTTTCTTCACTGCTTTCGCCACCAATGCATTAATTCTGATCTTGAACTCTTCGTATTCTCTCTAATAATCAGCGAAAATAAAAATTCAAGTTTGTCAGGGCTTATATTTAAAAAGAGCTTGGACAGCAGCAAATTACAAGAAATAGTGTTGCTTGCTTACTTTCATGGCTCGTCGATCTTTGACAAATGTAGCTTGGACCTTATCCTTCAAATAATCCATTTTCTGCGAGAAGTAAAACTCAGGAGCCCTAGGCTCAATGTTATACTTCTTACAAAACGGAACCCATCTCCTCGCAAACTCGGAAGTTTCAGACAGTGTATCAAACAGAAGCATTGAAGCACCATCATCTGATACATAGCAGCTGACCTTTTCAACTGGATAATCAACAGACAAGATGGATAGCACAGTGTTTGCAGTAATTATGGGTGGCTCTTTTAATGGATCCACAGTACTGACAAAGAAATCAACTGGGGCTAGACGGTTAGGCTCTCCCTCACGTTCAAATCTCAATGTAAGGCGGTCCAAGTATGTTTCCCGGTTGATAGGAAACCATTTGGGGAACTGGTCAAGTATCCAAGAAAATGCAAACCAAGTCTCACAAATAACAGAGATGAGCCATAATGGGTAGGCATCTTCTGCTGGGGTTAATATTCGAAACCTGAGGAAGAAGGCAAGAATAACAAGCCGCATGATAATTATAATGCGGTATGGGTTGATTTTGCTTGATGATATAGGGACTTTTCTCCATAGTGGTTGTCTTGCTTCAGCAATCCTGGAGAATGAAAACTTGTTAATGCTTATTACTTGTTATACAGATAGTAAAGATATAATAACATTAATAACAATGCAAGTTAGTGATGAGCTTTTCGAGTTTTCTCATTGTCTGTCATAAATTATAGATTTAGATTTAGGACTGTAATATGTTACACATCACACTGATCAATACAGAAGTTCAATTTCAGAAATTGATTTAGAGAATATTATTCCTCATGAAGAATGGATAAATTGCTATTTAGATGTGCAAACTGACAGAAAATTGTTTCTTCTGACCAAATAAGCAGATAGAGCTCAGGCTATAGCAAACTAATACATAATTTCTCGGTGTATTAGGTCTGAATGCTAAGTAATTAACCATGGTCTCTAGAAATTAAATTACAAAAAAAAAAAAAAAAAAAAAAAAAAAAAAAAAAAAAAAAGAATTCCTCTCTATCCCTGGTTAGAAACTTGTCTGATCCAAATCACAGCTAAATGCAATTTCTTATGAAAAGTGTTGTTCATTGTCAAACATAATGAAAAAGGTTTCTATTCAGCATTGATGATTCTAAGCTGAATATGTGTATTAGTAAAGCGGGAATTCAGAAGAAGAAGAAAAAGTTCGAAGACTAAAATTACTGCTTACAGGAAATCATCTTCTTCACCCTTATCATTTTCGCTATCATAGGTTTTAACTAAGCCTTTCTTCTCTTGCCTGCTTTTCCACTTCTCTACTCGCTCCTTCCATTGATCATTGTTACCATATATATCCTTTTCGTCTTCAAAATCCTTTCCGTTCACCTCCTTTTCTCCATCAAAATCCTTACCAGCAACTGTTTGATAGCACAGAAGACATAATATATTATCAGAAACAGCACAAAATTGGCAGATCAGATTTCTTTTCTACATGAAACAGGAAGAATTGAAGTTCTTTACCACTTCCAGCAAAAGAAGATAGTTGATTTCCATTAGCATGCCATTGCTGTTGATTATACTCCCCATTTTCCTGCAAAATTAACACTATATGGTTAGTACCAATATTGTACATAAGAGAATTCGATACTATTTTTGTTACAAGATTCAACTCACAGATTGATTTGTAGGATGTTGGTGGTTGATCTTAATCTCAAACTCATCAACTAAGCCATTAGCATCAAATGCTTCTTCCTCATCACCCTCGACTATTGGGGAGCCTGATACATATAAATAAAACAAATTCCGATTTAACATAATCTTCTTATGATCAAGCTAAGTATAAAAACAGTATGATCTGAAAATATGAGCAAAGAAAAGGAATGGTTTATGCTAAGAAAAAAAGGTTAACAAACCTCTGTGACGCTTATAGCGAGTATTGCACTGAGGACAGCACTGAGTGCCTTCATTCCTTTCGTACTCGTAACAAGGCCGGCAGACAGGAAACCTACATGCATGACATGCTGCGAAAGGCTCCCCGTCTTCTTTTACTTCTATACCATCACCACAAACCCTGCATATCTTTCCTCCTGATTGCCGGGTTGGTGAACGATTCTGCAATAAAAATAAAAATTAAAAAAAATAAAATTATATATATATATATATATATATATATATATATATATATTTTGTAAGAACACATGTACTACCTCCGTTCCTTAAAGTTAGTTACATTTATTGTAGATCCACAGACCAATGCATTTGGAGAAAGAGTGGGTTATGTGTAGGAAAAAGTATGAGAAAGAGTGTTATAAGTAAAGATTTTGTAAGAAAAAGTAAGAAAATGGTGTTCTAGGTGAGGTATGTGTTAGAAAAAATTAGCAAAATTTGGAAAAAATAAAACAAAAGTGTAACCAACAAAAAGGAACACATGAAAAATAAAAAGTGTAACCAACGAAAAAGTACAGACCCACAAATCCACAATGGTAGATAGTACAAATTTTATTTAACTTGGCCAAAATTATTCTCCTTTTCAATATTCATATAGAAGTATAAATGATGTAGCATATATAACAAATAAAGAAACCATCTAAGTTCCTACACATGAATATATCTCAAAGAACAAATAAGAGACAAGAAGGGAGGTTTACCTCATCGGTAACAGGGAAAGGACCAGGAATAAGGCCAGCCATGGCAAAGTACACCACGGCAAAGGCGAAGACGGGATGGAGAAGAGGTAGTGAGGGAGGAAAGGAAGAAGAGAGAGTGAGATATAAAGAAGAGAAGGATCATATCTAATGAAATTAATTTAAACAATAGAAGAATAAGATGGGGAAGTGTGGTGGGAATGGTGTAGTTTTCTACCAAACTGATAGTTGGGAAGTCATTGGTTTGATTCAAAGAGACGTTAGATGTGATCTCAAGGGATGGTAGGACAGTAAGAGAGAGAAATAACATAAGTTTAGACTTTAGAGAGAGAAAGGGTTGCTGTTCATAACTTAGGCTCAAAGTATGTCAAAGGTTGGCGCCATTTTCCAACTCTTCACTTGGTTTGTTGGCATTTCTTTTTCTTTTTTCACCAAATATAAAGAGTAGAGTTTTGTGTGTATGAAATCTTTCTTTATGTACAAATTATTAGCAAAGTACCTTTATGTAGATGTGGCTAGTTGGTCCATTATTGTTGTTGTCTACCACTCTCTTACAATATCGGGTTGCAGCGATTGGCGAGTAGTGATGTGGTGGTGGTGGTGGTGGTGAAAGTGGTGTTTTAGTGGTGGTGATTAATGAGAGAAGATTGAGGGGGGGGGGGAATAGAAGTGTCAAAAACTGACCCGACCGACCTGATACAAAACTGATCCGAAAACACATATTTAGATGTCGACTTGTATGAACACAAATAATTTAGCATGCCTCAAATTTAAATAGACCCAACTCGACCCGACATCACAAACCTGAACACGGACACCTGAATTGACACCTCTAGCCCTCTTGGGATTGGGGGGGTGGCGGATGGAGGTAAAGGTAGAGTTATGTCTAGTAATTGTGGGTGGTATTTAGCAGCTCACTAAATAATTCACAGAAGCAGTTCAAAGCCAAAACTGATGCCATATCAGAAGCTGGTCATCCCCACTAAGCCCAAGGGTTCAAGTTATCACTTGATCTAAGCAGACAAGGACTACCTTTTGAGAATCTACAGATCTAGGCCATTATATCATGATAATTAGGACATAAATTAAAATTTTAGATATACAAGAAATAATAACAAAAGAAGAAATTACTTGGCTGAGGGGTGCCTTTCATGACATTGACCGTACAACAAAACTCCAAACTGTTGACAGTAAACAACATAGAAAGTTAAGACTGAATGAACATTATAACAGATATAAATGACCATTGCCCCAAGAAATACCAGTTTCCTTTTCTGGCGTCAGTAAAACAAATACCCAGAAAAATATCACTGCATCAATAAGCTAGTTGATGATGATGTTACGGCAGAAAGTCGAATCCGAGAAAACTGAAGCTAATCAAAAAGTCATCTCATTCATTTCCATGGGGAGGATCATCACTGTACAGGGGATAGAATTCGCTGACATCATGCTAGGGCTTTATTACTATAATCTCTCTAGCAAACCGTAAGAATACAGCTAGGTGACACCTGAACTGCATTACTCAGTATGTACTAGGACAGTATAAATTACAGGCTAAGCAAAACAAATGAGCCATCGGGTGCCATGATCAACTAATACTGCCCCAGTTTTCCTTTTATCTAGATGGAAATTTAGAGGGGTTGAGGGCAAGGAACATCTACATATTTCAAGCTTACTCTTTATAAGCAATACTGAAGTCCATAAGTGTTACTACTATATCTCGTGTTTGAAACACGGCCTTGGCTACATCTACCACACTAGATAAGAACGGAAGCAGCAACGGTTTCATGATATGGTTCACTCAATCTTCAGGAGGTTTTGAAGTTGCAGGTAAGTTTGGCTCAGTTTTTTTACTGCGTTTACATGGTTGCAGATCCGACAAATCTTTATCACAAGGGTTTTGACGCTCAGCAATTTCAGTTCTGGGTGCCTTTCCTTCTCTCCTTCCTGACGTCTCTCCAGGTGTTGAGGGAGCATCAGTTGGCTTTCCTGTGTCATTTTGATCTCGAGCAGATGCACCCTCAAGACCTACATCCTTCCCAGTTATTGGTGATGCCTGGGAAGAAGGCTCTTCAACTGTCAAAGAATCAATCTTGAGATTTTCAGCCCCAGACTTGGACTGCTTTTCAAGCATCTTCTGGAGGTATCTTCCTTGCTCTTCTATTCGCAGCTGTAAATTTCTTTGAATCTGCAGAGAAAAAGCACTGTAACATCTTAACAGGTCTACATACTAGCAACAACTGCAACGCATTCTATGATTTAAAAAGGAGTCAATGCAAGCAGGGAGAACAATAAAGCAAGAGAAAAGCAAGAAATTATAGCACGTCACGAGATTTTTTTAAAACTATTTTCTTATTCTTTTTTTTTTTATTCTCCTCAATGTCTTCCTCAGAGACCAAAAGTTCAAATAGATAAAAAGCAGCCATTGCTCCCACTCTCCCAGCACCCTGTACTTCATCTTTTAATTGCAATTTCACAAGCATTGTTTTTAGGCTAGGTTAATTCCAGTAAAACAGCTCAATATCTTCTTGTATAATCTAGCATTGGATTGTGATCAGCAATTGCTGCCATAAATGATCACAGGCTGCATGGATGTTTACTTGCTCTACAATAGAATATTGTAGCATGAGAATATGTATACGCTACTAGTACGCAAACTGAAGTCATAAGGATAGAGCCTCAAAAGTTCTGGCTTGTTAAAAAGAATGACATCACAAGTATTAAGGTTTAATGATGTTCTTGGCCTTCTTGCTCCTCTAAAATGTGATTATAAAATTCCTTAAATCATATAATAGGACTTGTGAAGAAAAGGAAAATGCTACAGTGAGAAAGCAAAGGTCTCAAGACTCTTAACCTAACAAAAAGGGCATCATTATTCTATTGTCTAAAATTCATAATTAATGTTGGTGTCTAATGTAAATGTCTATAGTTCATCGTTCATTAACATCCCAGTAAATACTTCACCTTCTTCTGTTACCAAGGAAAATATGACATATGAGGCACAAACCTCATGGAAATTTTCACTCAAGACTGAAGCAAAGATTTGGCAGAGATGATCTTGTACAATTTATAAACTGTGGTTGGATAACCAGTGAATAGGTCAAAAGTACTACGTATATGACTTTTCAAATGTAGGCACACTCTACAAAGAATCTTTGTTTTAAGGCTTTTAGAAATTGTACATCATAATACAATAATAATAATAAAAATAAATAAATAAATAAATAAAATTAGTCTTTGAAGGAAATCTATAGTCTTTACAAAATTATACCTCAAGCTGCTCATGCAAACGCTTTTGAACTTCCATCTGCAGCCTTAATGCCTCTGTGAGATCCATACCCCTGTTGTGACACCAAGCATGGTATGAAAATTGGTGATTCATGATTAAAAAAAACAAGGGAAAAAACAAATAAAGGTCCAAGCAGGATTAATCTTCAGAATATTGACCTAAGAAAACATTATTACATGTAAAAATTTACCTAAATTTCATTTCAGAAACTGTCTTCCTATGGTAGCTTCTATCACTCTATTAATCAACAGTACATGTCCCTCTGTAACTAACCAAATCAAACATATAACCATTCTGGAAAGACATATCTTATATTTCCATTTCAAAGTATCCTTTAGACAATGAACAGAAAATAAGATACGGAGTAGAGCTTTCCAAGGTTAAGCTTGCTTGCTGGAATTCTCATAACTTGCTAATAAATACTTTAGTTCAACTCCGATCCTCAAGCATCACACAATGGACCAAAGGAAAATCCCTATAAATAAAAAAAATTAAGAATACCTTATACTTCACTTCATTCAGTTTATGTTGCTTTGACCCATGTGGACTGCCTTATCCCTTAGACAACCCAACAAAGCTTACTTTCACTTCAAATTGCTAATTGACATTTCTTCCATGATTTGCATGAGTTCTTAGGCATTATCATTTCCATAAAGCAAAGATAAGCAAGCGGTTATGCCAATCACATTATACCCCAGCATGTCCCAAGTTAATGTAGTGGTATCACAACAGTAGATTACTACTTGAGCAATCTTTTCAGCTTGCAGAAGCAGTATCAGTTGACCTAAAGTCAACATTGGCTGAAGGTAGCCTATATTTTTATCACTTTATCAGAATAATGGGAGATCCAGCTATATTTTTGGAAAATATGGGAATGCATCTGCATACCGGGTTTCGTTTTTTAATAAAACTGAAAGAAAAATAAAAAATTGTTCCCCCACAAAATTCCAATTATAAGTAGTGACCACTTTCAAAATCTCAAATTGCACCTCCACCAAAAAAGTCCCGTATCTGCAAACCAACACCTAAAGGCACAATCAACATAATAATTCACTAGTTGAGATGACTGTCAACATCTAAGAAGCCCAGCTATATTATTAAGCAAATCACACAAGGTATTAAAAATAATAACAGTAAAGAATAGTAGATCAGTTCAAAATTTGCAGGCAACAACTATTATTTGGCCTTTTCTCAATCCCAAACTTAAGATAAATAAATAAATGCTGAACATTATCACCCGAAAAAACAACCAATAGAAGAGCACATGTACAAGGATAAAATAAATACTTACGCTTTCAGGTCTAAAGATGACAAGTCTGCAACAGGAGTTGACAAATTTTCAGATAAACCTGCAAACAGAAGACAGAAATCCGCATACTCAATGAGCACCTAGGCCGAGAATTTTAAGAATCAAAGAGCACTAGAGAACTGACATCAATGCATAGGCAACAAAACCAACATATATGTGGGGCATTGTTTCGAAAAAAAATAGAAGCAGGAAATGTATTATGGTGCACTACAGATAGAACTTGAATCTCCGTCCACTAACATGACTAGCAATTCCACAATTAATATAAAGGGCACTATATATATGATGAATCTGTCCAGTAGAAGATATATGCTAACTTGCTAAGCATCAATATAAGGGGTAGGGGCATTATAGGCAGTAGAATTACAATTAGCTTGTGAGTAGCTTGAAAAATAAGATAGGTCGTTTATTAGAGGGAAAGCTCTATATATAGAGCATATTAGAGAGAGACAGAGAATTAGGTTGAATATTGGCGAGACTCGTGAGAGTAGAGAGAGACATTGTCACTTGGGAGAGAACCAACCTCTCAAATTTAAGCTAGATTGTAATTGGCAATTTCCACCATGATTATTATCAATACAATCATATCTTACTATTTTTTTTTTTCCTAATTTCTTCATTAATTCTTCTTAATCTTCTTACTACCCTAAATTCTACTGTTCTAGTAAATAACTAAAGATCATCTTAGTTCTTAGCAACAATCAGCACATAGGACCAATTCAAGTTGTAACATCTCAGTATAAAGCTAGAAAAGTTTAAAAGACTTATTTAACAGGCCTGTCGCCATTGAACACAACAAAAATCAATTCTTCAGAATGGAAGGACTTAAAATACACAGTGAATGAGCAATTGAACACACACACAATTCCCTTTGTCAACAACCCCCTTCCCCCTCCTTTCCCACAGCCATTGGGGATAAAAGCGAAGGTTATACAAAAAAAAAAAATGTTAAAGCAACTAAGATCAACAAGTAGATCTAAAAATTGATATCCAATTGTCCACTGACGATATCACATACATCCAAGATCCAACAGGAAAGCTCTGTGTATGTTTTCCATACAAAGTACAGCATAAGATATAAGTACTATCGTAATATAGAACGGGAGGAAAGAAACACGAATCTTATGGAAATAAATTCTTATGTAACACTATTTTTGAAAGATATACGTCCAGTTTTTGCAATGGAAGATACTGGACAATGAAAAAGTCATGTGTTGTGCAAAGCAATGAGGAGCAATCCCAAGAGGGGGAGGGGGGGGGGGGGGTTGTTAAACCAATCAAAGTCCATCCGGCACCTCACAGCTTTGGATATATTATATCAAGCGCCATTACATTATAAGCAGTGACATGGAAGCAATCCACATGTTTAAACGGATCAAAACGTGCTCTTAAAGTAAAGCTATGTCCTAGAAATGAATTTCTTCATTTCCTATATAACAAAACCCAATCATTTTCGCTATCTAAATACACTTAAACGGATACAAAAAGACATCAAACTTGAAGAGCACAAATCCAATGTCGTATTTAAAGTAGTCCCTGTTTAACAAATTAAGTGCCACTAAGTAAATATGCAGATATGTAAGATTGTAAGCTAAAGAACGTAACATTTTTATAAGGTCAGTGTGTAATTAATGTTCCACTTGCATCCCTGAACCTATCCCTTTTTTGCAAGCAACAACTTTTAAAAGCATCAAATTAAACCATCTTTCACAGTTGCAAATCTTAAGACGGATACATCAACTAGCTCCATTTCACGGAGAAAAATTGGAAAAAAAGAAGAGTGTTTGGGGAGGGGGGGGGGAGTAGAAGAGTTTCAAGGACACACCTTCAGAAGGCTCTGGCCTGTATCGAGCTGTTCTATATTTCTGCATTCATATTTATTTTAAGAAGTAAACAGGATGGTATAGAGAAAAGCAATTAAGATTAAACAAAGATTTTTAAATCACAGATAGAGAATAGCATATAAAAGATGATCCTAAGATAAAAGGACAATGTCCTACATGCCTGCAGGTGACTTTTCACATGATAGATGGTCAAGCCTTCAACCTTCATCAGCTTCAAAACACCTTTAGGGGTAGCTCCTACAAGTCCAAATGATCAAATTAAGTTAGATGTTGCATCAGCTGTAGGCCAATATTTGCATTGAAGTGACTCACTTTCACTGCCACCAAGCTTACTGACTGCTTCCACAAAGGCTTCATGAAGCTCTGGGGTCCAGCGCATCCGTGACTTGGCTGGACCACTACCTGTGGAAGCCGGGCTTGCAACTGCTGCAACTTCTGCTGATGATATAGAAGGCTGCTGCTGACTTTGTGTTGGGTGCATCAACAAATTTGAAGTTGAATTAACTAGTTGATTTGACATCTAATAAAACAGAGTGACAATCAGTGCTGGACAAACAGTGGTGCAGATAAAGCAGCATTTTGTAATTAGAAAGCATCTATAAGCAAAAAGGACCAAAAAAACTTATACAGCATAACAACCTTCATTCCATGGTCTGTGGCATTGGCATCAATAAGCAAGTCACTCCAATTAGAACTAAGTGATTCATCATCAGTGATTAGCTGATCTGCCCATTCCTGCCAATCATGACGCTTGACAAGGTCTTCATGTGTTACAAGATTACTGCCACCATCACCATTTCCCTGGATGTGGCCACTTGACATGGAGCTGTGGGAGGTAAAATCAGGGAAACCAGATCCTGAATCTGAGCACCATGAGAGGTTGTTGTTTCCTCTAGTATAATTACTAGATGTAGATGAATGAATAAGATCTGTGCGAGTAGAAGGCATTAGAGCCAATGACGATCCATTGTTAGCAGATGGAGGTATATACGGGGAGTTACTAGAATAGTTTTCACGGGAGGCAGGAGAGAAATGAACATCGGGAGAGTATCCTGATGAAGATGAGAACATATGGTTGACAAGAGTATTGGACGGCAATGGATTTGAATGAAAGATCGAGGGATCAGTAACAAGCTCCCTTTCCATAGAGACCTGCTGGGAGTCAGGCAATTTAGGATACTTCTCTTCCAAGGTACTAGAAAGGACTGGCAAGGATGAAGACAGAGCTCCAGAGGCACCCAATTGTCTTGGACCAGATCTCTGAATGGATATAGCAGGGTGTCCATCCATATTTGGCCTTTAAAAAATATTGGGATAACCTTCCAGTTTCAGATCCTGTAATAAAAAAGACTGCACCAGTTCACAGCGCATAAGGGCCAGATAAGAACTTTTAAAGTTCAAAATTAAATGGTAAAAATCACAAGTGATCCCAACATTGTCTACAACATCGGTTTTCACAATACATTGATCATATACATCAAAAAAATTCAGAATTATATGATTAACATTTCGCAGAATTAAAAGAAAAATGAAGGTTTTCAAAATATTACACTTTGTTTTTCGAACAGCCCAAAATAGTAGGCAAAAAGATAGATTAAGTGGTTAACAAAGAAAATGAAACCAAACAATATAATAGATCAAAAAGGAGACACAATCAAAAAGTACTTCCTCCATTTTTTATTAATAACAATATTGAATTTCACACTATTCACACAGACTCCTTAAAGCATCTTTTTTTATTTATACGATAGGAAAAATAAAGTCATGTAGGGTCTGTTATATTAGTCTCGATATAATTCCAACATATCGGCTTATTATAAATTTTACTAAAAGATAATCAAATATATTAACAATATAAGAATAATACAAAGTATATGCATTCGCAAGCGTGAAATTCCATACGTTACAACTGAAAAATAACTGAGGAGATGAAGTATGACACAAGATATATCAACTAATAGTCGGTGGGTCATATGCTTGATACATGCAATAGTATTACGATAGTATTATTGAATCAAGTCAAACATGAGACATTAATAAAGGAGCACTCAAGAGAGATGGTGATATTATTTTCAGGATTAGGGCTTCTTATAGAGTTATAGCGGCAATGGAGCCATCAACAATCAAATGAAATCCAAACTGTGAAATACTTTTGCAGTTTTGCTGGCAATGATAAAATGAATTACAAATTTTTTTCTTTCTTTTTTTTTTTTTTTTAACATGATATAGCATAATTCTATTTCTTTCTTTGTTTCATCCAGCACTTGGTTTATACTTGAAACAATCTGCAATCTTAGAATTTACAAGGTTTGAGAATTTCCATAACCTAATAGGGGGCATTTTAGGACATTTTGTGAGATTGGAAACTGGATTCCTCAAATTTTGTGCATCTCAGAGTCGTCAGATTTGCATGAACACTTTTTTCATTCTTCATGCTCCATCAAACAACTTAATGAATGCATTAGCAAGTAGTTTGCACGGACCCTATTTTATTATTTATGAAACATAGCTCATTAAACTAGAGCCTAGGAAAACATAAATCAATCCACAGATTGATAGTTGATCCTAATTATTCTACAGCCCAAACCTCTATTACTTTTTTCTTTTTTTATTACCACGTGCCTAAATGGATGGTCAAGTACAGCTTTTGCTCCAGCAGTTTGCACCTTGGCCTCTCAAAAATCAATAGCATAAAGATATGTGACAAAATGGAAACTGAGTATGGATAGTGTCTGCTTGATAAAATAGATTCTAATCTTCCATGGTGTACTCAGCAATAAGTCTTTCATCCAAAATTAAAGTACAAAAAACAACAGAAAAATAATAACAAACCCGTGAACACAATAATCAGCATGGTTCAAGACGATTCCCATGTATGCAATCTCACTCCTACAAATTTATCACATTAAGGAGCAACTAAAAGATATTGTAGAAACGGAAACAATTTATACTGGAGTTATTCCGAAAGAAAATTTTAAACGGGTCATATTTCACCACCCTGCTTTACTTCTAAGTTATAACTTCCTAACAAACTTTCTTCTACTATTACAAGTACTACTAGATAATGTGGCAGCAACCTGGGTACAGATAAAGATTGAATCCTGTTTTTCCTTTACAATTGTTATTAAGCGACTCAGGTGCACCTCCCGTTTTCCAATCAACACCCCACTCACCCATGTAATCAATTCACCCAAACTCTTCTGCTCATTGCTCAGCATTCAGCAGACTCAACCAAAATTGGCAAAGCCTTTGATAATACTATCTATCATCATATTTAACAGGCATGACTATGACAATAAAACTGAAAAAAAAAAAAAAAAAAAAAAAAACCAAGATTTACATTTCTCATGACCTAAACCATTCACAAAATTAGTACTCCGTAATCAACATGCAGAATCGAAACATCATAAGCAAGTCAATTCTTAATGTAAAGTTAATTTCACAAAAACCTAGCACAATCTCTTAATCCTTTAGTTAAAAAGAGGGGTCACTCACTAATTATATAAAAGCTAATTAGCAAATGCAAAACATTCAAAAGTCATACACAAGCTCAACCTAAAAACTCCAGATGATATGAATATTAACATCAATCAAAATCCAAACTTTCTCATAGCTCACAAAAAATTGGATAAAATCAATACATACCCAGATTAAAAAAATTCACATTCATTTCATTTTGAGCTACAAAATATCAAACAAAAATAAAAAAATTAAGTAAATTAGAAAAGCATACCTTGAATTTGGAAGGAAACTCAGAAAAATTGAAGGGATTACAACAATGATATTGAAATAATATTGAAGATTAGGATTGATTTGGAGGTGAAAAAGGATCACCGGCGTCGAGAAGTGAACGGTCGTGAATGGGTTTGGTCCTTGGTAATTTGGCCTATTTGGCTAATCTTCCATAAACAAAATTGAAAGGGGCAACTCCAAGAATTAGCCACGCTTGTTTGTTGCGCGTGAAGCTGACTTTTGAGAATCTTTTGCATAGATTAATCGGTTGGTGTCCTTGGTGACGTTGCTCAAGGGTGCGAGGGGTCGTGGACTTGTGCTGGTGGTAGCGATGGCTAGAGCAATGTTTGCCGTACAAGTAGAGTTGTTAATTTGGCCATTTGGGTTCGCCTCTGTTCAAGTTGGGGCGGATTATGTTACTCAGAAAATCGATTTATCCTTTGAATAAGGATTAGGTTTTGGGCGGTTAAAGTTTACTTCTTATTATGTTAAATCACTAACCTTTTTCAAGTGTAAGTCAGGTTAAGTTCGAGATAAATTCGGGTTAGGTTTAAACCAAGTTTCGAACGATTAACTATCTAGTTGAATAAACTTTAAATTGGTTATTCTTGGGTTCAGATTAAGTTTAGATTGGATCAATATCTGTCAAACCTACATTATTTGCCCCATTTTACTTTTTGGCCTATCCCTTTAAGTTTGCCCTATTCTATAAATAGTTATATGAAGCCACTATTTTACTCTTAGCTCTCACACCAACTACAATTGGTCTCACCACTTTTTTCCCTTATCAACTCTTTCCAACCAAAAATAAAAAATATTACATCATATTAACGAGCCAAAAAATAAGGGACGAAGTGATATTTTACATCCTTTTTTGAAAACTTTGCAACTCTTCCTATTTTGACATGAGCTATTCTTATTTAATTGTTTCTCTATAACTCTATCTGACTAACTTAGCCTATTTACATTACATCTTTATTATTTATTTCTTACACCATCAATTAAAAATGTCCACACTAACTCCAATTGCACATTACTGTATTCATTTCTATAAACTACTCACAACTCTTCAAAAAAATTTGTTCTCAAGTTAAAGTGTTGCATGAATTTAAAAACGGATTATATTAATTGGTCAAAGAGTAAATAAGATTGTATTATAAGTAATGAAAATAAACTAAAAATTTTGACTAGTAGCAAAATTGCGAAATTCTATTAATCAATAATCATCTAGTCCATACGATTATGATGATCTAAGGATTTGCTTCTCTAATCTCTATTCTCATTTTACGCTATGATTCTCTTTAATTTAGCCAGATTCCAATTCTATATGGGAAAAATCCTAAATATAGGAAAACCCTTGGGGAAATTTGGAAATGCGAATTTCTCACTTACGGAGTTTCTGATGGTCATGGGGTACTCTTTTTCGGAGTTTGGTTCTTGTTATGAATCAACTAATCAAGCATAGTGATTTGTAAAATAGTGCATGTATTTTTTATAATTAGATCACTATTTACAAACTTGTATTTATAAAATGTAATTTCATCTATGAAATTTAATAACTTTTTATACCTTTTTTTTTTTTTAATAAATTAAAGTACATGGAGAATGGGGAAATGTGGGGAAAGTTAGGGAAATAAGTGAAGTGTGATGTTACATCAAAAATGAAAATGTAATGACAGATGTTTTATTAAATATGTTGGTGTACAGTAATTTATTGTATGTCGGAAAGATAAAGAAAAGAAATATGGGTAAGTTTTATGACATTACTAGCTAAAATTCCATGTCACACGGATTTTATAAAAATTTGTAATGAATTGTTAATTTAATCATATAGAGTAATAATTTACCAAAAGAAAAATATATTTTAAATAAAAAAACTTAGAATTTGAAATTATATTTTAGTTGAATATTTATGGTAGATATATTATGGATAAATGGGAAGGAAATATTATTATAACATTCTAAATATTCTTTAACGATTTGATCAAGTAAACAAAAAAGTAAAAAAAAAAAAAATGATTTGGAGGGAAAAAAACAGCACTAGGAAGCGACCCGTGTCATTCCTGGTGTCTGTTTTAGTATTATGTAATTGATGGGTAATTTTTGATAGTGTATGGGTAACTTTTGAAAGTTAAAGGGTAATTTTGTAAAAATAAAAGTAATTGCGTAATATGGGTAACTTTTGATAATTTAAGGGCAATTTTGTGAGAATAAAAGTAACTGGGTAATAAGGTAACTTTTATAGGACTAAGGGTAACTTTGTAATAATATGGGTAACTTTTGGTATACTATAACATATGAGATATACATTATTAAAATTATAGTACACCTAATGCATGCAAAAACTTTTGAAATATAATTCTTGGCAATCATGATGTTCTATGAGATCTGTGGTGGATAATATATATATTTTTTTTTAATCTTTAATGGAACAAAAATATTTCCGTTAATAAATCGTCATACATCATTATCTACAACAATAGCTAATCCTAACTAATAAAGACATCAATGTGCAATGATAAATCTAAAAATTTAATATGAACCGGGATTGATCTCCAAGGCAATAAAAAAGTTATAAAACTTTAGGATGTCTATAAGAAGGAAAATTATACTCTCTGTATACCTATTTATTTACCCCGTTGCACTTTTGACGGTCGAATTTTTAAAACGTTGACCACAAATAATACCAACCTATAAAAATATATAGTCATGTGAAATCTTGTAAAAACTGATCATTGAACGTTGTACAGAGTGGTTGTTGGATTTGATCTCCAAACCTAGTCATTTAATGGACTGTGATGTATGCACAAAACCAACTTAGCCATATTACTTCACATTTATTCTATTGTTGTTTAAATAAGTTATGTGGGTCATGGGGCGTGCCATGGCCATAACTACTAAGTTGAGTTATCAAATCCTTACATAAGAAACGCTTCGTTTTCCTCAATTTTCAAGTGCCTATGGTTCTCTCTTATTAGAAGTTGAGGAGAGTGAAGTCTTACTTATATAGGGGTTGGTACCTCAACCTAGTAGGCACCTTTTGAGTAAGACTTTTATCTTGTCCCAAAGCAAATCTTTGCAAGTTAGGCCTAAGAGAATAATACCTATTAGTGAGTTTATATTCATATGCAGTGTTACAAATGGTATCAAAAGCCAAAGCCCACTTCAATGTCTTGTTGTGCCTTCGGGACGTAGGCTCTTTAAAGGAGCACATCGAAAGTTGAGGAGAACGGAGTTTTCTTTATATTAGCAACCTAGTAGAGACCTTTTGGGTAGGAATTTTGTCTTACACCTAAGCAAATCTTTGTAGGCTAGTGTTTAGATAAGACAATATCTACTAATGAGCTCATGTTCAAGCACTTGCCACTTGGGGTGTTACATAGTTAAACCTAGAGGTGATCAACAATGGCCAACTCGATTTCTCGATCAGGTAGGTCCAAAAATATTGCGGGTTTGGACAGCCTTAAGAACGTATTTTTAGTTTATAACTCGAGCTCGGCCCGAAAATAGCCCTCGTTGACCCGATGAACCCGACACTATTTTACAGGTTTGGAGGCAAGATTTTATACTAAGGCCCGGACTGGGCCGGTTTTTATGATCTCTAGTTAGATCCATCCACTTTGGCTCTAAGTATTAATTTAGCAAGTTAAAAACATGCTCCCATCGTTGACTCAAGGCCATCATAAACTTTTATGTGATCAACTACTGGGCATATTGCAAACTAACAACCTTTTATGACTTCAAGGTATATCCCCCACCATTATATGAGTTTTCAACATTGAGTTTGAAATTTTCCAAAAATAGTCCCATTTTGTATATGCCATCAAATTAGTCATCGGACAACATTTTCAGACCTAACAACGCGACGAGCAAGGTTGTGGCATGGGACAGAGATGATGACTTAACTAAAGAATGAAGTTTACATATCACAATCAGATTCTAGGCATCATGACCATTTAAAACCGATGCACTAAAAAAACAGAGGAAATAGTAATTACGGAGTAATAGTTTAAGGTATTATATATTTGTATAACTAGATTAGTGCTCGTGCGATGTACGGTAATAATAGTCCTTTTTTCCATAATTAACTTGTGATAAAATATAAAAATGAGAGAATTCATGTGGAATAAACGTATGCAATACATATAAGAAAGATGAAATAATAAGGCACAAATTATTAAAACTACAACTGAGAAAAAAAAAATAAAAAAAAATTGATTAGTTTCGCTGAAAATATATAAACATTGTATACATTAATAATGCATGTTGTTCCCCATAAAACTATACAATGTAAATGTCGTATGACTTAGCTTTTTATTAATGAATTAATATAGTTCGAAAAAAAATATTGTATACAATGTACTTCCAAAAAATAAGCTAAGTAGAATAAATTTTTAAAAGAAAAAAAAAAAAAAAAAACTTAAACCTAACATCATATATTGTATTGGCGGGAAATTTTTAAATGATAGTTTGACATATGTCTAAAATGATCAATTTAAGCATGACCTGTTTTAATAAAAGTTAATATATTTTTTGAAGGGAAAAAAAAAGTTATTTGGTAAAATTATTACAGAAATACTTAATAGAAAACTAACTCAATTATTATTATTTCATAAGATTTCAAATCAACATCATGAATAGAATTTTTTTTTTCTTTTTCCAACGGTAATTTAAATGTTAATATTGTATTTTTGGCTCCGTTATTTTATACTCTCCACCATATTTCAACCTTCTAAAATATAACTTATTCTTAATTAAAAATCTCAAAATCTTGTGTAAGTATTTTAAGTAAATAGAACACGAAATAAAAAAATAGTACAATTATTATAAAGATAATATAAGATTAGGAATAATATATTATTATAGTTGTATTATACATATATTCCAAAAATAAAAGATTTTTGCTTTAAAAAAAAAAGGGGGGAATTATGGAGGGGAAAAATAGCACCAGAAAATGACATGTGTCATTACTGGTGTCTGTTTTACTATTATGTTATTGATTGTATTTTGTATTATTGCATTAAGCTCCAAATTCCGTCAAGTTAAAAAGAAGTGCTATTTATGTGACATGATTCGGTGTTAATTCTTGTTGTCATAAAGTAGATGACAATTCTTAGTGGAGGGGGCCAAATTAAACCCAGTGGGCATCCCCCATTTTTATCTTGCTAACCTAATTTTTTCCAATCAAAAGTGCAACTGTTTTTTATTTTTTAATTTTTTTTGGATGAACTTTCAGTTTATTCTTCCCTTGTAATTTCCTAACATCATCACACGCAAGGTAAAAAACACTTTCAATTTTCTACAAATTTTGAGTTTTAAAACTAAAAACATTTTAAAACAAATAATATTAGTGGGATAGAATATAGATCCATCCAACACTACCAATTTGTTCTGCAAGCTAATAATTTAGCCCTTGAAGTAACAAATTATATGAAACAAAATTTGACGGAATTCTACAAGATTTAAGAGTTTAATTACCAAAATTCGAAGCACGAAAAATGCAAAGAAGTATTAACTATACAAGATTTAGGCATTTAGCAGTACCAAAATCATCACCAACTCGGCCAAAACAAACCAAAATTACTAAAGGAAAAAAGGGCTGTGCCAAATGAACCAAGGGTGAGCAAATCTTAAAAAGATTTCAAGGTGCCAAGGGCGAAGGTCGATCAAGAGGACGACCACTATCGAAATTTTGATTGTAGCTCTTAGCATCGTAGCTATAGTTGATGACGTTACCTCTTTTGGTGTTTCAATACTTTGTACATTATACAAGGTTACTCAACTCAACTCATCTCATCGTCTATTTTCAATGTATTTTTAACAAATTGTATCTGTTGGTTGATAATTAAAATTATTAATAGTTAAAGTTGGACATTGACCTACTTTTAATAATTTCTATCATGACCTTAGTTGTGGTCTTGGTTATAAAATTCTATAGCAACTACATTGATATGACATTGATGTAATTGAAGAGGGGAAATTTGTTTTAAAAAAAAAAAAAAAAAAAAGTGATGAGGGGTATAGTAAATTCATAATCACCCATCATTTGTCAAAAATAACAATCATATATCCTTAATTCCTTATTATGTACATATTTCCTACAACAATGATAAATTTACTAGGCATGTTCGTATGTTATCAAATTATACTCCTTTTGTTTCAAGTTAAATGCACTAAGCCAATTTTTTCACATTTTATATCAATCATTTTTAATGTATTATTTTAAAATGCTTTTAGATTGATCTCAATCTACATTTTTAATGTATCAATCTTTCATAGTGAATTGAAAATACTAATGATTAAAGTTGTGTATTATCAAATATGTCAGTTAAATTGCATCATTTAACCTAAAAAGGGAGGGGGGGTTATTCTTACTAAATTGAATACAACATAAAATCTGAGAATAATTCAACAATTGAGCTATTATTTCTTAATAGAGGGAGTATAATCAATGCTTGTAGGAACAATAATACATGAGGCGTATTGAATGGACATGATGATTCCAAAGGAATGGAAAATGAGAGACGATTCCATGTGTTGTGTTAGTGCAGTAACATCAGTCAACACTAGTACAATTGATTGGTTTTAAAAGCCATAATTGTGTCTAATTTTGCTTCTATTCCGCATAAAGGTTGATGTCAATGAAAAGATCATCAACGACAAACAAAGGTGAAAATTTCTTACTCTTAAATTCTTGGATTTCAAACCGACCCATTTTAGTTTTTTTTTTTTTTTTTTGGAAATACGTACAAATTGATAAATTGTGTAAAAAAGAAGACAAGAATTAGTGTAATTTTCACATTCAATTCAGTGAAATTATTCTGATTTCCTGCACCTGGTTAAAAAGACAAAACCTATTGACACGTGGAAATTAAGATCATTGTTTGTTCCAATGTTCTTCCAATTTCGTGCGTTACTTTTTTTAATATTAAAGTCACTAAATAACGACCTGCAAGATATCAAATTTGGGTGCTTTCAAAAAAAAAAAAAAGATATCAAATTTAGGTTTGGAATATGCTAATTTTACATTTTTTGTTGACCACATGATAAAATTGAAAGCTCATTAAATTTTAATTTTTATTAAAAAAGTAATGAAATATGGAAAAACGTACATTAGTAGACCATCCTTATTCTACCCAAAAAAAAAAAAAAAAAAAAAAAAAAAAACCAATCCTTATTGGAAAGGGAACACTAATGCATCGAAAACAATAATTGAAAATAAATAAGAATTATTACATGATGAAAGTATAGATACCAAATAATTGACGTTAGTGGTCCAATATACTGCCCGATTTGCTTCTTATAGGCGCGTTACGTGTGTTGAACATTTCAATTGTCGAAATGTTGAAGAAGGAAGCAAATATCTGTTAAGCTAGTCAATTCGACAAAGCAATATTCAACCCTCTTGACAAATAATTATCTTCTCTTCACATAACTTTTTAAGTGACATGAAGTATATCAGAAAGTTCCATGACCCAGACAAAGAAGTAGGAAGCAATATAACTTTTGAGCATATATACAAGAAACTTGCCCGTTGCTTAAATACTTTTATCTCATGGAAGTGGATTTGTACGCTCTCCAAAAGAAAATGGGAACTTTGGTGGACATGTAATTGGGAACTTTGAGTTCAAGTTGTGGTGGAAGTCTGGAGGATACCTGGAGCTGAAAATATAAAGTAATACTTTCGCAAGAATTTGAGCAGCAGGTAAATGCTACTCCGTAGGATAGAATTTTAAATACTCGAAAACACAGCCTACTGTCATGCTAGGGAGCAAGCAAACGGCATGCTTGCACAGCACACTGCTAACTCTACTTCTGGTATTAAGTCTGATGTAACCATATAATTGGAAAGTCCACATTTGGGATCAGGATTTAAATATTCGAATAAGTTGAATCCCATACCAATTACTAGCAAGCAGTAAGATGTACTAATGGTACTACCTTGAGAGTTTTAAGGTCATTAGCTATAATTCAAGGTTTATCTATTGACTCTGTGAGAGGTGTGTAACATGAGCACTACACAAAGTGTCATCTGAAGAAAGAAAAGCAAACCTCAAAATAGTTTTTGTTGCAAAACAACCTTAGGCTTTAGTATTTAACATCATACCTTTTTAAATAACAGATCTTGTTGTCCTTGTTGAAAAACAGGAACTTAGGATTTCCAATTCCAGCCATAGTTCTTAGTTGCTTGAATCAGACCTTATGAGCCAAATTTCGAGATCCCTTGGCATCCTGCTTTTAGATATCACTTCCTTAGCCAAGATAATTGCGTTTAAAGCAGCAATTACAAATAGATACAGTAACAAAGAAAATCACATCTTCATTACTGCAGTCTGCAGCTTCTGGCCTACCAATGACCTTGACTACAAGACCCATAACTTTAAGCATTGCAATCAGCAGTTCAACATAAGCCTCTGACAAAAGAGTGAATCGGAAGCTTTGCACACCAAGCAACCCTGTCATTTCACATGGACCACCTCAACCAATCACAATTATTGGAAACTCAAGTCTAAGCCTGCAGGGTTTGACTAGCTCTTCATAAGTGTGTTGGTGCTGTTCTGTTCTCAAAGACAGATTGAGAGTGCTTCATGATAAAGGAGACTCGCGATAATTAATAGATCAAAAGTCTAGGATCCGTAAATCACTCTCACTTAATTATACAGTAAAGCCATCCTCCCAATCCTGCACATAATACAATCGACTTGGTTTAAATGATATAATAACATGATGTCAGTGCAACACATCTAAAATACAGGAGTTAAGAGGAATTCTGGAAATTATCCCAGAAATGTACATCATTCAGAGTCACCAAACGATGATGTTTATCACTTGAAATTGCCAGCTGAATTAGCAAAATGTCTACCTTTAAATTGATGTTGGATAGCAAAATCTCCATCAAAACATAGTGCAACCATTAATAAGACCAACTAGAGGTTTAAATGATCTCATTTTTGGTTCAATAATCAAACATTGCCTTTTAACAATAATTAGCAATTTAAGACGTGTCCATCGATGCCAGGGGCGCTCTGTAGAAATGTAACTACATACGCAAACTTATGATGTGGATGTCATCCACACCAATTTCAATTTCCCAAGGTACCAAAATAAGTGCATGTTACATTGAATTAGATAGTGGCAATGCTCACCCAGAAAGTAGCTTAGAATTTGATATTGGAAATGAACATGAGTCGTTTTGATATCAAAAATCACAGTTTCTATAGCATAAATATGTCACACACACTGATCCATACATCCTTTCTTCGATTTGCAACTCAGTCAAATAAAATCTGAATTAAAGAAAATTATCAAATACGCAAAATCTTTCTTACTCTTTTTCTCTTACCTGAGATTGATAAACCAGGCTGCAACCATCAGAAGAAGATACAGAGCTCCATCTATTTCTCAGTTAATGCACCTGAGGTTCATAACAGTGAAGTTAAATACCTTCACAATGAAACATCACCACGAGTCTCCACAAGAGCATTGTCCATCCTTAAAATGGTGAAAGCAATTGGGATCCTTCAATATTATTTCTCGAGCTTCTATTCTAGATATGAATTTTGCCATTTCATGACAGTTGTGACAGACATGACTGTTTTTAGTTATCCGAATTGTACTCCTTTGGGTGCTAATTAAACCAAAGGAAATGGCAAGCAATTCACTATGCCCCATTGGAATGCATTCTCTCTCCTCATCAACATCATGGAGACTAAAATCTGCATCAAAAGCGTACTCCTTCTCCTTTATCTTCGTCATCAAACATTGGAGTTCCCAGTACAGTTTTTCAGACCTTGGGTGGGATACATCACCAGTCCCAAATACATGAATTTTATTGCAGAATTCTATCCAACTATATGCTCTCTTAGGTACCAAGCCCATGTCTCTGATTGTTTCCCTCATTTTATTCACCGAGTCCCACTTTGAATAGCTAGCATACCAATTCGACAATAGAACATAATTATCAGCATTCAGTGGTTCCAAATCACAAAGCTGTTCAATGATTTTCTTCCCTGTTTTAACATTTCGATGATTCCTGCACCCATCTAACAAAGCTCTTAACACCTCTGTATGTTGTCCGAGTTGATTTTTCTCAATAAAGATCTTTGCCTCATAGAAATATCCGGCACGGGCCAGAAGCAAAACCATAAAAACATAATGCCTGACATTAGGTCTCTTAATAAAATTGAAGAGTGTCTTCCCTTCCTGAACTAAATTAGCTACCACACAAGCATAGAGAACAGAAGAATATGCAACTTCATCAATTTCAAGATTGGTTTTTTTCATTTCATGGAACAATTTAACCCCACGTGCTCCTTGTCCATGAAGGCTGTAGCCATAGATCATAATTGTCCACGAAATGGCATCTTTAGTTGTCATTCCACTGAAGATCGTAGAAGCAGAATCGATGGATCCTGATTTGACATACATGTCTATGAGAGCATTCTCCACAGTAACATTCATTTCAAGGCCATTCCTGATCAAGTAACCATGAATTTCTTTGCCCTGCTTATGGGCAGTCATTCTTGCACAGGCAGGTAAAATGCTTGATACTGCATGTAGATCAGGTCGAATGCCCTCAGACATCATCTTTTTGAATAATTTGAGACCTTCATTAAATCCCCCATTCTTCACATAACCACGGATCAATTCTGTCCAAGAAATGGAGTCTCTAGATGACATTACATCAAAAATTTCACGAGCACTTTCGATGCTACCACAATCCACATACATTTTCAGCAAGGAATTACATACTAAGACATGAGTTTCCAATCCACAAGACTTGGCTATCTCATGTAATCTTCTTCCTTCGTGCAAGGATTGCAGCTTGCCACAAGCACCAACCGCAGTCATTATTGCCACTGCATCAATCTCAGCACCCAAAGTTACCATTTGGTGAAACAGGTCTATAGCAAATCTGGGTTTATTTTCCTTTAAATACATGGAGATTAACAAGGTCCCAAAGACGGAGCTTTTCCCCACACTTGACGTATTGAAGACCTGTTTCACTGTTTTCGCACCATCTAAATGGCCATACATTTTCATCAATGCAGTAATGACATAGTCTTCACATGAAATATCTAATTTAACAGCATGAGCATGAACTTGTCTGCCAAGAAACAAGGAATTTGAAAGGCAAGAAGCAGCCAAAATTCGAGGAATTGTGTGCTTATCAGGGCAAACACCTCGTATTAACATTTGCTGATATAAGTACATGACATTGTCTATCTCTCCGGTAGCAAGATGGGTTCAGATCATCTGGTTCCAAGCAAAAGTATCCGTCCTAGGCATCTTATCAAGCACATGATGGCTCAGTGTTAAATCCTCTGATCTTGAGGCTACTCGAGCATGTAATTTTGGGCAAAAATTACACAAAGAATGGTCCTTCAGAGGCAAGTATCTCTTGGAATTCAAGTATGGTAGTAGCTGTGAAGATGCAAGTGCTTCCATATCTTGAGGCACAAGGGAAGTTTATCTATTAAAGACTTGAATAATTGTTGGCACTTGCTGACTTTCGTATTCTAATCCTGCGTAAAACTAATGAATCAACATATATTTATTGAAAGTCCAATAGAATATGAAAACATCTAATCTTCTTGACGACGACAACAAGCCAATGTGGAATCCACTGTAAGGGAAGGTCAAATCTCAAATGTATATAGAATTACCTTAAACCTCCTAAACAAAGACGGTATATATAACTCTAAAAACACTCACAAAATTCAACAAAATTCTTAATATGGAATAGATTGAACTAAGCGAGTCAATCTCCTTTTGTCATCTCCTACAATGTAATTTTCAAAATTTTCCTTTCCTTTCCTTTCCTTTCGATCTTTCATGAAAGCTAATAGCGTTCTTATGCTTTCGATTTGTGAGTAATGGTTTTCCTACTATCTCTTGGATGAGAATATTTCAGTGATTTTTTTCATATACGTATTTTGGGTCAATCCGATGACAACTACTGAGCAACTTGTACCATGGTATTGGAGAGACAACCGGAGGTTTAGTCAAAAAGACAACTTACCACATTCAACCCTCAGCATTATAAACCGGGGACAGGGGCGGTCATCCCAAACTATCTTCTTTCTCTTCCTCCATATACTAATTCTTTAGCCTTTCCCTCTCTAATTGCTTCTCATCATTGTTAAGCGCGATACAACGCGCTTCATATGATATTCATTTTGCTTCTTACTGTTTGTGCTGCTACCTATCCACTTTTCTATCATCAAATTTCATCTTCCTACAATCTATTCCAAAACTAAAGTGGAGTTCTCTGTCATTCTTTCCAAGCTAGTCAAAAACAATTAGGAAATTCTATACAAAGTACATTAGAAGATTATACAAACAAAAGCCTGCAACATATTAGCAACCAAATTTGATTCAATTATCAAAGTAGGCTCCAAAAATCACATTAAATTCCAATTCTAGAAATGAAATCGCTAGTTATAATCTTCCGTAACTTCAGTAATTATAACAAATAGTTCAATAATCTACCATAGAAGAACCCTAAATTCATTATAATTACAATTAAATTAACGACTAACACTACATTGTGAAATTGAATTCGATGATTAATGAAAAAGAAAATAAAAATATCTTACCTTAGAGCTGCTTCAATGGAGGAGAGAAAGCTCACAAGCCACTTCAATGGTGAATTCAGAGTACGCTTCAATGGAGGAGAGAGAGAGGAGGGGCGGGGCCGTGGGGGGTTGGGTTGGGTGGGTTGCCTAAACGTAAAAAAGCTCTAGAGAGGGAAGAAGAAAACATAAAATTGAGTCAAACCCGAACAAGTTTGACCCGAGGGCGAGGGAGTACAATAAGGGATCCCTAACTTCAAAATGTTTCTATTAGGGAGAAAGTGCAATTCCTTTTCCACGCTTGATTAATTGATCCTAATTTAACCACCAATAATTATCAATCCAAATCGACAAGTATTTGATATGATAGTTTAATGTCGAGATATGTTTACCTGAAAGGCAAAAACCATTTAGACCTGAAAAATACCTAATTTATCTGGTTCTTAATTACCTAATTCATTCTTGATCAAATCTTAAACTAAATAGACCCAACTTTTTTTTTTTTGTACTCCATATTTTTTCCTCTGTTTTTTAATACATTAATGTTGTGTACTTTATAACCTTTATTCTCTACTTTTTAATAAACAAAAAAAAAAAAAAAAAAAGGTTTAAATAAAAATTGGACATCAATTGTAAAGTTATACGTATTAAAATGATCAAAAGTCATCCGATATAAATGAAAGTTTTCTCACTTGTTTAGTAAAGTCAAGTTTTTGTTACCTACTACGTAATTTTATTAATCTTTTTTTTTGAAGGAACGTAATTTTATTGATAATGATAAGATTGCTCCCTTAAAGAGTAAAAATAAAATTTTCAATATTTATAACACATACTGTATTAAAATTATACTCCGTATCAAATTTTAACTTTAAAGTTACTTCAAACATGTTACGTAATAGTACACTGATATTATTGTACACCGAGTTTACATACACAACTTTATATGCTCAGTATGATTAAAGTATTATTAATTAAGGGTGTTGTTAAACGTCGTTCGCATTTTACTAGGTGACGTTCACATTTTTTACATGAATTTCCTAAATTGCCCTCCGTATATAAATACTCAATAAAGTAAGTTAGGGCTTTACGAGACATTTCCCATCTCACAAAATCACTCTTTGACACTTTCTCTCTCTAAAACCTTCCAAAAAATCTGAAATTTTGAAAAAAAAAAAAAAAAAAATCAGAAATTTTTTTTTTAAAAAAAAACCAAAATAGTTGAAGGCTACACAAACACAAGCAAATCTTGCAATCAAACGTTGAATCCGACAATGGCAGACCGACGGAGAATTAGGCTGACGTTTGGTGGTCGTGGTGGCGGCGTTAGCGGCGGCGAGCCGGTGAGTTTTTTTTTTGTTTTAAATTTTTGAATTTTGAAAAAAAAAAAAAATTCAGGACAAGGGGACTTCCGCCCAGAAATTCCGGAAGTCCAGGGGAACTTCCGGAAATTTCAGGCGGAAGTGGGGTTTCCGCCTGAAATTTCCGGAAGTTACCCTGGACTGGAACTTTCGGATTTTCTGGGCGGAAGTCCAGTTTCCAGGTTTTTTTATTTTTATTTTTCTGTTATTCCCTTTTTTTTTTTTTTTTTTTTTTTTTTTTTTTTTCTGTTTTTCCCTTTTTTTTTTTTTTTTTGTGTTTTTCTGTTTTTCCACCTTTTTTTTTTTTTTCTGTTTTTCCTTTGTTTTTTAATTTATGTTTTTCTTATTTTTTTTTTTGTCCTCGATTTTGTTGATTTGGTGCATGTTTTAATTTGAAAATATTTGTGTCCTTCATTTTTTTTTTTTGAAGTAATTTGTGTCCTTCATTTGTGGCATTAAAATAATTTTTTTCTTGATTTAGTTTTGCAATAGTTATTGATATGTAATTTTTGTTGATTTAGTTTTACAATAATTATACAATAATTATAGTTTAGCATTAAAGTAAGTTTGTTGTTGCTATGTATTGTTATTGTTATGTAAATTTGGTTTGGTTTGTATTGGTTTTTGCTGCTGTTGTTGTTATGTATTATGGTTGTTTACTTAAATTGTTGTTATTGTTATTGTAATTGTTTTTTTTATTGGGTTGTCGTTGTTGCGTTTAAATTTTGGCAGTTTTGTGGTTAATTATAGTTTTGATTTGGTCTGTTATTGTGTTGAAATTATTTGTAGTGTGTTAGTATGTTGTTATTGTTAGTAGTGTATTAGTATTGTAAGAATAATATTATTGTTATTATTTGTAATGCTGTTATTATTGTTTATTTGATTTGATTTATTATAGTTTTGATTTGATTTTTTTGACTATGAATTATTATTGAAATATGATTCTGTACTTATTTTTTTAATGCAGATTGAGGGTTCTGGTCCTCGTCATGCAAGATCAAGACATTTGAATGCGTCTGTTAGGAGGGAGTTAGGTGGTGCAGGACCTTCACATGCACCGTTTCAGCATGAGTAGCAGTATGGGACTGCTGGTGCTTGGTCGGGGGAGCACCAGTCACAGGGGAGCGCCCCCATGTATTCGTCTACTGGAATGCCTTCATCAGATGAGGATGAGGATGAAGATCGAGGAAGTCAATCTGCTGGAGATGCACAGTACGACCCTCAGGATTACCGTACTGTGTATTGGGGTGACCATGGGAGATATGTTAGCAGTAGTGAACCAGGTCAAGCTTCTACCAGCTCGTCAGAGTCATGGGTGGTGCAGGAGGCGATGCCAGGTGGGCCTGAGGATGGTACCGTTATTCCGAGTTTTGGGGGTCACGTGTCTGCCTACATATGGGGTGGGCAGGAGCGAAACGTGCTGCGGTGTTTGAGCAGGACACAGTTGTGTTCTGAATTGGGTAACTGGCGCGCTCGTCTTCCGCCGGAGCACCTGGAACCGATTGATGGCACTGGTCTATCTCATTTACCCGGGATCATGTTCCGGCGATTTGACTGGCCCTTAATTTCTGCTTTTGTTGAGAGATGGCAGCCAGACACGAACACGTTTCACATGCCTTTTGGGGAGATCACGATCATGCTGCATGATGTGTATCATATTCTAGGGCTTCGTGTCGACGGTTCCATGGTTTCCACTACTCCTAGCACGGACGTTTTACGGGACGCGTGCTCGGTTACCTTGGATATGACTGAGGAAGAGCTGAATGAGAAGTGCGGTACCAAAACCGTATGGCAGGGTAGTGGGGTCCTGACTGAGAGGATAGTGGAGTCGACCTTGGAGGCGCAGAGGCCCTTCAGTTTCCATTACAGGGCGTACCTGTGTTTAGTACTCGGCGGTTGTTTGTTTTTGGACAAGAGTGGAAACCGTACTCATCCTTCCTTCCTCAACGAGCTGTTTGTTGAGGATGTTCAAATTAGTGAGTACTACTGGGGTTCTGCTGTGCTTGCATACATGTATAGGCTGGATCATTTGACTGACAATGAAGTTAACTGGCTACCGTACGGAGTTGATCCAGCACGACGCGTGCCTGCTACTCTTTTCATTGGCTGCATCCAGTATCGTAGCATCATTGAGCATACATGCCTGATTGAGTGGTTCGGCAACTTGGATACGTCCAGGGCATTCCACCAGCCATTATCAGGCCTGAGAAGGCTAAGAGACCGACGAACTTGGAGATGTATAGGGTTGACTTTCCGCCAGAGATGACATCTGTGATGTGGACTCGGTTTGTCCCTGGTATGTCTTTTAGTGTCGTGGTTGGTGCCCTCAGCAGACTTGGTGGTGGTGCTCCTACGGTCGGTCCTGGTTACATGCAGTGGCTGTACCGATTTTCTCATCCACGTGTTTCTCCAGTTGCGTCATCACATGAGAGTCGCACACTGCCAGAGAGAACTAACACGGATTACGTAAGTAGTTGTATTTTTTGGTATAATTTAATAAGTTGCTATTTTAATATGTTGTTTATAATATGTTGTTTTTAAAATCCGATTTTTTTAATATGTTGTTTTTAATATGTTGTTTTTTTTAAAAAAAAACTTGTGATTTATTTAATATGTTGTTTTTTTAATTGAAGTGGATGGGTCGGTCTATGGAGGTCATCAACAGGACCATGGAGGAGTATCCGAGCCTATCGCGTGATACAAGAGCAATGGCTGAGGCGCTACGAGCTGATTGGAGGGCGATGATGGGGTTGTGAACTTCCTGTTTTTTTTTTTTATTTCCCTTGTACGCATTTCGTTTATGTACTATTTATTCGTCACGTACTTTAAGTATTGAACAACTGTTTTGGTGGTTTTGTAAATATTTTGTTTAATTAAGTTCAATTCGTTGCAAATTACATAACGACAACTGTTTAACATAAATGAAAGTACAACAACATGTTCACTATCTAATTAAGGCATCCCACATGTTCCTTCTAGCTTCGTAACGCCGATCCCAACCGTCAACACTTGGGTCGTGGTGCTCGGTCCACCAACCTGCAACCGGGGGAAGTGGCGAATCAGGTGCAAGTTCAATACAAATAAAATGTGAGGCCCCAACTGTAGCGATGACAAACTCTCGCTCCGGTGCTGTGACCCCCCTTCTTGCCCGCAACGGCAATATCGTGAGGCATGGGTAGTAGCAAGTTGGTGTTTGGCCTACACCAAGAATAATAACCGCTGCGTTGAACCAAGTCGCAATAGGAAATAAATCTTGTATTGCAACCATCCAATGACGGGAATCAACCGCCCCACCGTCCCATCGAATACGCTGCACATTGATCTCAAGTCTTCCAAGCCCATAAATCCTCTCATATAGGGCTCGATAACCGAGGACCTCATTCGCTATTGTCTCTCGAGCGTCATACCATCGGCCTTGATCACCGAAGAAGAACTCGACCACACAACGAAACCCACAGTTCCCATCGCCAATGACATCCTTCCATCCTGTGATGTAAGGCAACATCGGCCCTGGAAGCATGTGTCGATAACGGCTTTGGCTAATGTCGTTTACATCTCCTGCACAAATGTAGGTTTCAGTTAATAGTTTAGTGAACGCTGATTTATGTGAAAAACACAACACTCAATCGTACCTGTTTGTCGTGCGCCGCGTTCAGTGTGTTGGCGGTTTACATGTTCAAAATAAGAACGATCACGTCTTGTATCATTGTTTCTTGGTCGACCACGAACCCGGTGGTTTACAGCAGGCTCTCTGAGATTGGAATGATCCGGATGCAACTCCT